AGGCTGTTGGCCACGGCGGGCGCGCGATGCGGGCCGCGGAGGGAGATCGGGCGAAGGGAGAACTCCAAATCGGAGAGGAAGACAGTGATTAGGCGATTGGGCTATGGTCTTGACATGTTCTGAAAGAGATGTTCGAGCTCGGTGGCTTGGTGTGGTGTTGACATGTTTTGACTGATGTTTATAAGATTTGGTTTTACATTGGTTCTGTTATGTGCCTCTGGGATGGTCTTGAAAGTCGTCAACTGCATCACACCACGGGTGGGGCGAGGGTGGTTCTGCAGGATGTCGGTGTTTGGCACCCTTACCCCCAGGATGGCAGACCAGATTTAACGTCCAAACATGTCCAAACAGTGGGTGGTCCGGTATGCATGTTCTTTTGATTGCCATAACTGCCTGCCCCGGCTTCCAGCGGTGTGTGTGCAGCTGCGTTTTGAGCTGCTCAAGGGCAAAAGGCTCGCTGTGCTGCAGCCCTGGGAAAGGCGTACGGGCGGTGCATGGGTTGCAGCGACGTTGGAGCATTAGTTGAAAAGAGAAAGCAGTAAGGAAGTGGGGCACTGGAAATGCACAGTCTTTGTAGGTCTTATTCTTCAGACTTCCAGACCGCAGGAGACTCGGGAATGGAATGACCTCCATGGATAGCTTCCCACATAAGTGGTTGACGCAGCATTCTGTTCTTTCTATCTTGTTTGTTGCGATGCTCAAAGCTGTACGAGCCTCCCCCTCACTCCTGTGTGGACCTTTCATAAGAAGTCGAAATGTATTCCCTTCATTCCGGGCGGCCAGCACGGCAGACCCCACCAGAATTCACTGATGGAACGACCAGAGCACCGCAGGCAGAAGTTCCTCCAAGGCATGTCGCACACCTTGCACCAGCATGCTGAGCGGCTGGTCCAGATGACTGAGGCGCAAAAAGGTTTGAACAAGACAAAAAAGGCGAAGGTCGTTGGCGGCTTGGAGTAAGGGCTCAGCCGTCAATGGACCGTAAATTACCAGGTACACTCCCCGGAATCCTCATGGAAGTGGCCCGCAGAACATATACCCTAGGGCTCCAAGTACCTCCTCTGAAGGTATTGGACCCTTTAAACCCACCCCAGTCCCACCTTCGAAACGAAGGTACGACTGGGGCTCTAGGGATATGAAAACATTGAATAACACGAAAAACGCGTGTCTCCCCCCGTAGGATCCCAATCGCTGGTGCCGGGTTGGCATCACCTTTGGGACAAGGATTCTTGAGCCATGGGTAAATCAAGGTCAGTCTCCACTTATAGTGAGCATTTGATGGTATTGTTAGTATTTTGTAATGATTCTTTGAGCTTCAGATAGTTCAAAATGACCCTCAGCTGAGAGGTTTGACACTCGACCCACCAATAATTATATGTATATATATATAGTTCATTAGCACATGTGCTCAAGTTACATATACGATCCTGGCTGAATCATTGCATCGACTGAAAGGCTTGTCAGTGACTGACCTGGTCAGGCTGGAAAAATCACAGTACGTACTGGGCGAACTGCACTGCTTCAGGTGATGTCCTTGGTTGTTGGCCATTTGCAGTGAATCACCTTCCATTGCATCCACTTTCCGACCCAGCCATGGCCACACCCGCTTTTCGCCCGGACGCATTGGTGGCCTTGTACCGAATATATACAATTAATATATATATATATATATAACCCTAGGGATCCAGTCGTACCTTCTCAGAAGGTACTTGGACCCTCCTGGCACCTACATCACAGTGTCTCCAATCACCTTCTGAGAAGGTACGAATGGATCCCTAGGGCAAGACATTCCCTACAAGTTAAAACCTGGTCCTTGACCTACTCTTGAGTGCTTTTTTGTATGACCAACGTCAGTCAATTGAGGTCATTGACCTGTAAGACATTGTTTTTCAACAAGATAAACTAACCAACAGAGGTTGAAGAACCCTATAGACTGTCCCATAGGTACCCTGGTAGGGTCCTATAAGGTCACTTAACCTCTGTTGGAAGAGAAGCATGGTCAAAGGTCTCCGTCGCCGAGATCCGAGAGGTCGTCTCGTGTCGCGTTCGCATGCGTGTTCCGTGGATCACTGGAAGACCGTGCGACTGTGGGGGTTTTGGAACTCAGATGGCTGAGCAGAGGTGTTTCTATACCAGACTTGGCAAAGGTCGAGCCACAAGGCCCCACAAGGTCGCCACATCCGTCCCACACCGGGAAGGATCGCCCGCTTGTGGTCTCATCGCGGGCTTTGCCAGGCCTTTCTGGAGACGGACTCGTCGCTGTCCACCAGCTGGTCGCATGTGGAGCACGCCGTGGACTCCCTGGATCAAGGCGGTCACTGCCCCACCTAAGAGAGCGCCGAGCTCAAAAAGCAGCTATTCATGTCTTCAAAAGTGAACGTCTTCAAGATCAAGACCAGGTTCCAGGTCTACTCCAGGCGTACTCCAAGTCACCAGTCGAAGTCATTTGAAGGGTCACGCGACCAAAAAGCGGCCGTTGGAGCCCCAACCGAGCCAAAGTCCATGCGTTTTGGATGGTTTGGTGTGGCGGACATGGAGGGACAAACGGGTTCTTGTTACTAGCTTCTTGTTACTAGTAGTAAGGCACTTGTTACTAGAAGCGATGCCCTTGTTCCTAGTAGCGATGCCCTTGTTACTAATAGACTAATAGCTTCTTGTTACTAGTAGTAAGGCCCTTGTTCCTAGTAGCTAGCGATGCCCTTTGCTCCTAGTTAGTAGCGTCCTTGCTCCTAGTAGTACGGCCAGGAGCCCCTAGTAGCGTCCTTGCTCCTACCCCCAGTTTTAGGTCCTTGTGGTCGTTTTAGACGAGTTTTCATGGGTGTCCAGTGGGGCGATTCAGCCTCTAAATACAGGGCTATCCGGAGGACAGATGCGGAATACGGTGGCCCCTAGCAATTCTGTTGCTTCAAGCACTGCCCTTCTCGGAATCGGACGAGAACGAATCACGTTCAGGTCACTGAACCTCTCTTGGTATACCGGCAGGTTGATCACATCCTCGGTGGAACCGCGCTAGGCCTGGTGGCTGCGACGGCTGCTGTGCTGGGAGTGCTGCTGGTGGCGAGGGGCTTCGCTCTGATGAAGCCGACCTTTGTCGCTCGGGCGGATCGACTCGGGGGACAGAGGGTCCGGACGGTTTGGCGGTTTTGGTTTTGGTCCTTGCTTTTCTCCGGGTCGACCTGGTCTGGTGGGAATATGGCCTGGTCTAGACCACCGGCCAGATGAAGGGTGGTGTCCTGAAGCAAACTGCACATGGCCTGGTCTGGAGATGTGTTAGGTGGGTGAGGCATTGCCTGATGGTCCGGTCCAACAGGAATCCTTGTAGCCCGGACGGCCCTGACGTTCCGTCCTGACCGGACAGGATTGGACGGTGTCAGCGGGCGCTTTGCCTGCCCAAATGGATTGAGGAGTCCAACGGCAGGATCCTGTATACTAAAATTAGCTTCTATGGGGGGATTCCAGGGTGATCAGTTTCCTAAGTTATATAAATAATATATAGTTAATTCTAATGGTCCAGCTTCTTATCCATACAATTTCCAAGGTGTTCAGCCAAAGAGTTTGAGGCCCGCCCCAATGAGGTCTTGGGTACTGCATTGGCGTTAGGGGGGCGAACCTTGTCGGTGGCCTGGCACGAAGGACTGTGAATGTGGGCGGCATGTGTGGCGAGAATCCAAAGCAGGATATTGAGTAGGATAGATCCGATCATATCCGATCCCTTTTCACTGACCTCTTGATGCTCTGGAAGACTTACTGCTGATGAACTTTGGTCATGTGGTGACACTGATTGCTACTTGACATATAAATATATATATCGATATAGAATGATCTGGACTTCTACACATAGAATGATCTGGACTTCTACACCAAACCCAATGCTGAATGACAATTGGCCAGGATATGGGAAAGCATGCACATTCTTTCAACCACTCACGGGTGGGACAACCATTTGTCCGAGATTGTTGTTGCAATGCGAGTGCATGATCGATGTGTCATTTGATCGACGTGGATCAATGCAAGCAACTCCAGAATCAGGAATTGTAAAGCACAGCTTTTGGTTACACTGTTGCTCTGAAGCATGTTTATGTATGGCCTTAGGCCTGCAAAAACGATGACGATTGGTGACGCTCTTCTTTCTTACATAGCCGCGCCCACTCAGTCAAACCGAGCCGCCGTCAAAATGTTCAACCGACGCGATTTCACGATTGCTGCTTCTTGCAATGTTGGAACATGGTGCCCTACCGCGTGGTTTCGTGTCCAGTTTAAGTTGCGATGAAACTGATAATCCCGACAAGTTATGCATGTATAGTTTAGTACATTTTAGTGCTACATCGGGGTTTGCTCATCCCAAAGCAGGGGACAACCAGCGTTGCCCAAACATCTATATATACAACGACAAACAGTCCTTTGACAAATGGGTCGCTGGAAAGGATACAGCAAGTTCAATCAACATGTTGTTTCAGACCCATTTCTTTCATGTCAAGTTTGCCTTAAAGAAACAGATTGCGGGCCAATCATTGCAATCAGGCTGTTTTTCCTTTTGACATGGCGCTTTTCTGACCGGGCTACACCCAACTTTACCCAGCTTCACCCAGCTGACTGGGATACAGTCAATGTTTGCCTTGCAGGACAGGCCATCCCTGGAGTGATTTCGGCCTGTGTGGTCTTTGCTTGTTCTGACCTCAGTGTGAAAGTTCTCTCATGTTTTTGTTGACATGGGTGTTTTCATCACTCTTGCAGGGCAGAGTGGGTTTGGAGCTAGTCGGTTTGGGGAATCTGAAGAAAATCGGCATCTTCGCATGGTGGACTTCATGTTGTCCTATTATCGTAAGGATGGGGGGGGGCACAATAGGATCTTGTTACTAGTAGCTTCTTGCCACTAGTAGCGATGAACTTGTTATTGTTACTAATAGCGATGCCCTTTGCTAGTTAGTAGCGATGCATCTTGAACTTTTGATCTCCTCAGCCTATCTTGGCTTCATCTGAACGGCCCGTTTCAGCTAGCGATGGCGGGCCTCGGCCGCTCCGCCAGCAGCGGCGCCCTGGTCAATGCGGGCGCTGCGCAGATGACGCACGTGCCAAAACGGGCGACGCAGCACGTGGCTCGGTGTAGACAGCGGATGTGGGGCTCAAGGCCACCCCCTAATTATTTGAGCACCCTAACATGGGCGGTTAAATCACCCCAAGTTTGGTGTGTGTTTCTCACCCTCTTGTGAGCAATGCCTGGGAACTGGCTTAATTAGGGTCCTTTGGGTTGCTTGGCTGGCTGGTTTCAACTCTTCAACATGACTGGTTCACTCAACTGTCATAGTTGAGAACCAGTCATGTTGAAGAGTTTGAGGAAGCCATGGGACCGGCTTTCCGAAGCTCGGAAGCGTGGATTCTTTGATTCCGATTCTTGGATTTGGCCCGCCATTTGGGGAGATATGGGGAGGGTCTTTGGATCCGAATAACTCCAGAGGTTTTCCACATTGAAGATCCTAGACCAGGATCATCCAATGGGTGTCCTGGCTAGACTACCCTACTACCCTATCCTACTTACAGCTCTCCATTGGGCACGTGTTGGAAGTGCTAGGGAGGTTTTTCTTCAGGTTTTTGTTGACATATAGATAGTTATGCCATGTTATGCCATCAGCTTTTTGCATCAGCATTTGTCAAAAACAAGACCTTCTATGCTATGCTATACCTACCATCTCAGCCTGCCTTGAACCCCAAAGAAACGTGGCCTCTTGCCCTAGGCTCTTTTCTTGGCCTCCTGGGAGGTGGCGCCGCCATGCCTAAAGCCCGGGCAAGCCACCGCGGGGAGCCGCGCAGTGCCTTGGTGAGCGTGCTCGGGACCTGGGAAAATGTTAGGAAAAACCTGATCCGTTTGAGCCGTTGTGGTTTGGAACATCAGCGAACCAAACCTTTCCACCTGTTCCATCATTCGGTTTGAGAGCCTGTGCAAATTCTAGAGCCTCAGAGTAGTTACTATTCTTCACTAGTTCGGTTGTGCTCCCAAGCAGTCGAAAGATGGTCGCCTCCCATGCCATATCATCATCATGATTCTGAATCATGATAATAGACCCCAGAATTGATTAAGACAGTGAACCCCCTCCTCTAAAAGTTACATACGAAGCCAAAAAATCTATCCACATAAGCTAGCACCACAACTGCCTGTGACCTCTCCTCCCCATATCTTTCCATCCTAACAAGTCGCGACCAGGTCTACTCCGAGGAGGCACCAGACCCGAAGACGACCTACGTGGCGGAGCGTTTGCCGCCCAAGTCGATGTACGGAGACTCGCTGTCGTTTTCGTCGACGAGTGGACGCACCGAAGTCGGACGTTGTGCGGGGTGAGTGGCGCGGTGTGTTTGAGGACCTTATAATAGGCTAATAAGATCTAGATGCTTTACAGTTTGCGGTATTTTTTTTTCGGGTCAGAGCTGATCGGAGTTTTTTTTTGGGGGGGGGTGATGGGAATAATAATGTGGAAACCTCAATGAAGAACCTCACCTTGTGCTTTGAGGAGACTGTAGGTATTGTCCATCCTGGACCGACCGGGTGTCAGCGGTTGAGCTGCCACTCGTGAGCTGCGGCCACTCGTTCTTGTAGGTGGCCCTGTTAGCGAGTGGAGTTGCATCTAAGCCACGGTTCGAAAGTTTGACCGAAGCCCATTTCTCCAATGAAGCCTGAGTACAGCCAACCTCCCGTCCCATTTGACTCACTTTGTTTTTCCGGGTGAGTTGGCGAAAAACATTGGGAAATAACAAAACTGTTTAGAATCAAGCAGTTGACCAGTCAGTCGACCCGCTGTTTTTCATGGGTCGAAGGCTTCGACCCGGTCGATGCATCGGAAAACGGGGCGACGCTACGCAGGGCATCCTTTGTAGCAGTGTTAAGGCCACCACTTCGGCAGACCACGGCGCGGCAAACCGCCAGGGCTCATAGCATGCCATAGCTTCTATCGTGTGCAGCCGCCTGGGAGGGGAAAAACAAATAGAAGAGGTGATGAAGGGTAGCATTCTTTGTTCAGAACTGAGTCACACACACACACAGACGTTGACTCGTGGGCATCCTTGATTTTTGAAAGCAGCCAACAACATGCCAAGGCTCGGATTTGGACAGGGAGACCCCGCCCTTGCCATGTGAGAAAGGTAGCAAGCAGACACACATTATTCCTCATCTCCTCGTCGGTAGCTTAGGTGACCCGGGGTTGCAGATTTCAAGCGAGGGAATCAGGTCAATGAGGGTGGGTGGCACTAGAGGACCATTTGAACTTGACCAAAAGGAGCAATCTCGTAGAGACACTGCAATTCAGCGCCGCCGCCTTGGAATAAGTATTCAGACGCCTCATGCTTGGTGGAGGCCATCGCAAGTAGGTTGGAGGCCATCGCTACGAACGTGGCAAGAAGCTGGTAGTGGTCAAAACCGCCGCTTCCAAGGTGGCACGTAGCGCATTCTCCAAGTGACCGGTCTCAGCCCAGGAGAGACGGTCTCGGAGCTGACCGTGATTGAGGACTACAAGAATCCCACACAGCCCATCCGGCAGAAAGAACCGTCAGTGCCTGGGTGGTGGTTGACTTACCTGCCGTAAATGGGAGAAGGAGGTCGAGCATTGTGTTTGGTCACCCACTGTGAGGGTCAAACCTATAGCCTATAGCTATAGCATCCGGATAAGCATATTCATGTAATATCAACTATTATTCATTATTCCCCAGGGCTTCAACTACCTTCTGAGAAGATGTTTGGGTTGGGTGCCAGGGGGGCCTAACCACCGAACCTGAGGATAGACAGGAGCACTAGGGATCATAACATCATGGGCCCAAAAGTTTGTTTGAAGAATCTGGTCAATATATCCCAGACACTCCATGTATGCCATATATGCCTACATTGGGGTGGTTTTGGGGGTCAATGTAGGCATATTATGGCATACATGGAGTGTCTGGGTATCATGCTTCGCTTCATTGCGGGTGCTCAAGTTCACCAGCCGTGCTGCCACCGGTCGCTGGCTTCGATGCGCGCTTGCGCGCCCCACGCAGCTCATGTTCGCCGCTCCGACCGCCACGGCCACGTCGCAGCTCGTGGCCGCCCAGGCGAGCTCCGTGGGACATCGAGGCGCAGCGCATTGGTCCTCGACCTATAAGACCTCACACGATGACAATGCAATCGTTGGGTCCGCATATCATAGGCGGGCTATAAACACAGCGGTGGGGAGATGGGTGGATGGGCCAGCGGCGGATGGGCAGATCCAAAAGATGAGGCCGATTGGAGCCAGCAGTTCCCATTTGGGGTGGCTTAATGGAGAATAGGGTGCCCATCATCCACTCGCTTATAGGCTCTAAAACAACTAATCTAAAGCAATCCTTTTTGGAACTCCTGGAAGTCATTTTTCGACAGTTCTTCTTCCTTTAAGGTGATTGATGTGATGGTTTTGGAAACTTTTGATGACCAAACCCGTCCAAGCAACTTGTTCAGCTGCGGATGCCGGAATCCTTTTGGGTTCAAAATTGGGCTTTCTGATGTGCACAACAGGCCGTTTGTTACCCAACTCAGGCCATTCAGTTGTTCGTTAGCCTTCATGTTCCCCGTTGCCTCATCACTGGCCCTTCTAACAACCAGGCACACCCACACCACGCGCACACCCGGTGACACTGCCCGAAACCTGCGCAGGCAGACAGGTCCCTCCTACCAAGCAGCGAATCCTCCCACCTGCATCGGTGGAGCAGGATCGATGAGTGCTATGAGCGAGGATTTTGGGGTGTGACTTCGAGGATTTTGGGGGAGGATGGGAAGGGGTGGCGTGAAGGCTTGGAAAGGATGGGGGGAAGGCTGGGAGAATGGTCTTGCTCGCGAGATGGGAAGGATGGAGAAAGGGTGAGAAGGATATGCTGGTCGAGTTCGTTCGTCTTCTGGTGGACGGAAAGGGTGGTGTGGACTTTTCTTCATGTGGACGGGAGAATGACTAATGAGAGGGAGCAACGGGAAGGGGTGTTCACGTGTTGTTTCTTGCGCATAACACTGGACTTGCGTGACCTTGGTGGGCTCCGAGAGCTTCAATAGGACCTCAAACCTTCATTGGCGCTGGAAGCCCCTCAGTCATCCTTCAACTCCAGTTCCTGCAGATCCTAGCCACTGGCCATCACTGGCCCATAGCGAGCTTTTGGGAGGCCTTTGGTTTGGCCATGGAATATGTTCGGGCGGACCGGCAGGCGATGTTTTTTCCGTCGTGTTGGTTGATTTGTTCATCCGTTTTTCTTGGCGTCCTCAGGTACGGATCAGATCCACGTGACAAGGTGGACCCCTTGCTGGACCGGATCCCCATTCGCAAGACCGCTTTGACCAAAGGCACACCCAAGGGCACTCTGCACATTCCAGGCAGTCGGAGACGACTTGGGAACCTGGACTTGGGAAGAGGTGGACAGCGAAGAAGCTGCTGGATTGGTGGATGTATTGTCAAATTGTTGGGATGTGCTACGCGCTTGATTCAAAAATTGGGACAAAGGTGTGGGGATGGACAAATCCGAGGGCAGACCTAAGCCAGGGGATGCAGATGATTTCTTCAGGGCCAGCTCCATGGAAGCGTGGCTTCAATAATCAACTGCCCACCATCATACAGAGGTGTTAACATTTCACCAGACTCTTGAGTCCATTTGTGGTGAGATGTGCAGTTCGACGTACTCACGAAAAGCATCCAACAGTATCCAACAATGCCAGCACCAGGGGTCACCAATGGAAGCCCTCACACTACTCATGCATCTCCATCGGAAACCCTTTTGGAAGGTGCGGATGACCTTCCACTAAGCGGATTAGCCTTGTCCAAACAGACAGCAAACAACCCCAGGTGACCAAATTGGTGGGTTCAGACGTTGAGATCCTTCTGCCAGGCTATAACGGCTTTTTGCCCACCAACACCCGGAACCCTTACTGCGCGCGGGTGGAGAGTGGTGCCACCGCCCGCACCAATGACAAGTCCCACATCACGGATCAGCCGCTGGGATGGGGTGCAGAGAGGACTCAGGTTGATTCTGAATGCAGCAGGGGATTCTTTTTGATGTGGTGAGGTGGAAGAACATCACATCGCCTATGCACTGCGTTGGACTCCTTGGTTTCACCACCCAAAAAAGAACAACACACATTTTCACCCACAAAACTGAGCGGGTCAGCATGGTCAGCCAAGCATATCATATCCCACAATATCCCACAAACTCGTGAAAGTCTTTATTTATCTTTATCTTCAATCTTTCGGGCGCGAGGAGCTGCGCCTTTCAAGCTGGGAGGGTTCTCCACCCCTAGTGCCCTGCAGGATTTGGCGCTATACCGATGTTACAACTCTTCCACATGTCATTGTGTGAACAATATTCCCACATTCAAGTTCACCCGTGTCTCTCTCCGTTCACCTCCGACCATGGCACCTTCTCCAGTTCACCTGCTCCGGCCGCCATGGCTGAATTGGTAGCCCCGTTTCCACCATGCTTCGGACATCGCCCCCATTCTCACGGGTCCTATATATCGCGAGTGCCAAAACCCGGACATCGCTTTCCCGAACGTCGTCTTCGCGTGTAGGATCCCCGCGCCGCGCCGCGTATTCCCCAGGTATCACATCAACACCTTGCACTACGCGGGACACGTGCCGCTGAGCGTGACCAACGACGTGGGTCCCATGAATCCAGGCAACCGCTCGACGATGAGCCGCAGCTTCCGAGCACCGAACTTGAGCGCCTTCGACTGAGCGAGCGCTGTAGCTGTAGCGCGAGTCAGCGTCTCGGCGGGAATCTGTCAGACGGTCCGGTGTTTGGTTTGGAAGGAGAAGGCCAGGCGGCCAGGTGTGGTCTTTGTTTTTCTTTCCGTTTTGTTTGGGGGGGGGAAGTAAGGAGGTGAATGATTTAGTGGAGAACTGCTTGGGGTTTGATTCGGCCGACTTTTGGATGGGAGGGGTGTAATACAGGGATTTGCGATGGGAAAGTGCTCGTGGGTTTTGAGGCTGGAGCCTTGAATGCATGATAGATGTCTCGGGTGCGGAGATTGAATCTTCAATCATGCAAATATATATTACCATGGACCATCATGTAGGAATTCTGGCAATTTGCAACATGGACACGCTTGCAAGGACTGGGCCTGAGCTGCAGGAAGTGAGCGAAGGCAGACGTTCACAGCGAACGTCAGATCCCCTCTCATGCGGACTGGCTAACAACCAGGAGGCCGTCTGACAGTATACGGAGCTGCAGTGTGTTCCCCTGAAGCCCGCTCCAAGGGAGGGAGTTGAGTCAGATTTGAGGCGTATCCGAACGACTTCCTTTACATGACGTTGCAATGACTTACATGATCTTACATGACTATAGCCTATATAGCTTAAATAGATGCAACGGCATCGGCCTGTTTGCAAAAACACCATGGCAACGACCCTGTGCTGCTTCCAAGTGCTGCATCTCGGATCGCCCGCTTTCACCGAACGTTCACCGTCACCGTCCTCCGAAGGCGAGGCACGACCGGTGTCACTGACCAAAGCACGACCGGTAAAAGGAGGGCCCGACCGGAGCAGGTCGCGTGAGCACGAGCAGGTCGCGCGAGCACCCGGAGTACGGCTCGGTTGGCTCCGGCGGAGATGATACTGCCAAGGTGGCCCTGAATGCACACCCAAGACAAGTCAGCTTCAAAAGTCCGCCCATGGTGTAAAGGGTGCTGTGGACTTCGGAGGAGTTGGCGGATTCTTCACGTTTTCGATTTGGGCTGCGAGGGTGGACTCGCTTTCCGAGTATCCGAGTTTCACATGAGCTTGCTTGACAGAATTAGGCACCCGCCGACAGGGACAAGTGACCCAAGATTGAGACCTCACAACATTTCATTGATCAGCCGAAGAACGACCAATTTGCAATCCTGTGGTATTCATTCTATATTGCAGCTAGGCCGTCACTCCCATTTGAACATGTCTTCATGACATCCACTTTCGTCTTTGTTCCGTTGCGCATCCCAACGACCATCTTCCGATCTTCCACCCGTTTGGTCGCGCCTCCGCAACCGGTCACCCCGTCTCGGTCTCGCCCAGGCGGCGTGGTCTTTGCGCACCGGATGTATCCCGTCTTCGTCTTTGCCTGCGGCGCAGCGATGGCAGGTCGACTGAGCGAGTCGAGGAAACGAAACGAGTCGAGTCGAGTCGAGGGGCGCGAGTTTTGTCGAGTGGAAGGCTGCCCAAGACCAAGAGGCGGTTGGAAACGGGCTGGGCGAATGGAACTTGAGGGCATTCTTCCAGCTGGTGGCGCTGTTCTTTTTCCTCAGCTGGTGGTCTTTCTTCCATTGTCATGCATCCTGGGCCTCCAGGGACTGGGGATGAGGGGTGAACGGTGCTTGAATTTGGGCAGATGAACCCCTCAAAGGTTATCCGGGAGTTCGGGCAATCCAGATTTGAAGATGACATGTTCTGTGGACGAGCCAATGGATCAACCAGAAATCAATGGCCCCTTGGATGATTAGGATTGATCAGCTATCCTCTACAAACAGGTAGCTGTCCGCTTCCATGTTGGTGACTGGAGTGTACCACTGGTGGATGCACCACTCGTGTCAGGCGCTCGTCCACTTGAAACACTGCCCACTCTGGTGCAGCAACGTGTTTTGCTTTGGGATCTATCAAGCGGAAGGCTGCATCATTATGCATGATTTCATGAGTGATTTCTGTTGGGGGATGCGAGGTGTGCTCCAGTGAGAGGCCGGTTTTGAACACTTTCACTTCATATCACTTGGCAAGGCCCTTGTGACGACCAGCTGGAATGGACAGCCAGGAGTACAGCCAGGTTGTGACATGCTATGACCCGCCCCTTCAAAGGACCATCATCCCCTTCAAAGGACCATCATCCCAGTACTCATCACCGAAACCAGGCGAAGGTCCAAGTCCACGATGTTTTGGGGCGACGTGGATCATCAAGCGCATCTCCCATCAACGGTGCGAGACTCGAAGCTCATCACCGCTGCCACCTCGCTGGCCAAGTCCCCAAAAGGGATCCAGTCGTAGCTTCTCAGGTCCGCTGATGTCTTCGACACTGTTATGGTATAGGCATATGCGGCAATTCGGTGCCAAAACGTCGGGGTCCAGTCGTACCGAACCTGAGAAGGTAGAAGAACTGGATGCGGAGTGTTCTTCACTTCGTCAGGCTCTTTGACCTTCCTTGGACGACGGGGGCTGGGCACCTGGGCGGATCGAGTTCGGGATCGGATCGTAGCAGAGGAGCCGGTTGGAAGGATGGGGGCCAGAGGATCAGCCTGGAGAATGTGTCTGGAATATTGGAATATGTTGGAATCAGGTTGACAGATGATCATTGTTGGGGTTGAATTGAGCCCCTGTGCTGGCCTCTCACCTGGCTTGCAATAGACTTTTGGGGGGGGGGCAGAAGCCGGGCAAGCTGGATTTCAGCTGTCCGACTCTGGGTGTTGAGTTGTTGGGGATGTTCAGGAAGATTCGGGGAAATGTTTCTGGAAGGGTTCAGGAGTTCTACCACCTCTTTGTTCCCAGTGTGGTGGTAAGGAGATACTTGCGCACGGTTGTTTTGCAAACGTTCTGGGGGTGAGCACGTTCCAGGTTCCATGTTTGTTCCGTGTTTCTTTGCCTAAAAGCTTACCACTCCTGGCCTGTGGTGATAAGAGATTTTGCGGATGGGTGCCGGCTTTTTGCCCTGGGGTGGACAACTGGAACCAAAACAAGATGTCACTGGACCGGACCACACCCCCGAAGAACCGCCCAATGCACAACCCAACCCACTGGAAGAATGATTTCAATTGTGGGGGGTTCACTAAGTGGTCCTGGGAAATCTTCAGTACTGCGGCACACAAGCCGTCACAAGATGTCACAACTTACTTAGACTTTGCTGTTGCTGACCACTTCCAGAGCACAACAGCACTCCAAGTCCCATCCATCTCGAGCTACCACTGCACTCCAAGTCCCAATCCTCGACAGCGCCGAACAACGGTTTTCATCCGTCGAACGCCCTAGGACTGATGGACTCGCCCGCGGCGCTCATTGGCTTAACCATGTTGGTCTCGGTCTTCGGTGGCCTGTGCCTACGAGCCTTGGCCCAGTGGGGTCGACGGAGGGCGGAGGATGTCGGTCCGACGACCTGTGGACGTCGGAGTCGAGCAGCTGGCGCCAGGCCATTGCAGCGACTCCCCCAAAAAGATCTTGTGAACGGTTGTTTGATATATTCTGGGAGACGTGTCACATGAGAGGGGTTGACAAAACATGACAAAACTCATGTAACCATGGACATGGGAGCATGTTTGCTGGACCACACTCCCGAACCAGGAAGAACGAAGTACCGTATCCCCTGTCAGCTGGAGGCATTAGTCGTTTCCAACAGTCTCACTCTGTGGCGGATGAGCTGACCAGAGTTGTTCCGAGATTTGACCGCGGCCTGCAGCGATTTCAACCACATGGTGGAAAGCTTCTTGTTGTAGGCCATGTTGGATTTGGATTCATCACTGCGCTTGGTATTTTGTGATCCCTTCATGTTGTGAAAGATTGCAGTTGATGTTCACAGGGTACAGATATATATGTGTACAGATAGCTTTCAGGTAGCCCCACCCCTGGCGTTGAACACGTGCGCACCGGCCTAGAACATGTGCGCATTCTCTCCTGGCGTGCGCTGACGCCTCTCCTGGGTGGGATGCTGGTGGCGGCCACCCTGCGCTTCCTGGTGGCTTGGCACCACCGACCCGCAAGGCCCCCGCTGGGCCCCGCTGGGCCCAAGGTGTTAGAACCTGGTCGATGTTCCTTTCACCATCTGGTTTTGGGGGCCCCGAATGTCTTGGTGAGCGTCTCTGTGAGCGTTACTGTAAACCACACCGAGATGTGTGGACTGTGTGGATGGCTCCTGAAGAGTGAACTCCCTGTGATGCAAGAGGGGTGTCATTCAAGTTATTCATCCCTAGGGTTCCAGTCGTACCTTCTAAGAAGTTGGGACTGGGGTGGGTGCCAGGAGGGTCCAAATACCTTCTGAGCAGGTACTTGGAGCCCTAGGGCATGTATTGTATAAAGTTGCATTTGAAGACACCAAGTTGCCGCTGAACTGTTGCTTGTGTTGCCGATCCACGGCGGGCCCCACGAGTCAACATGTAAATATCCAGGGCCGATCGCCTGGATGTTCAATCTGCCCTACTCCTACTCTTGATACAGAAGCCAAATGCCGCATGCATTGCAGCGATCGCCTCCTGGATGTTCGCGATGCCAACCAAACCTTCCCCTTGTCACACCTGTGGTTTGGTGTTGCTGCAAGAGACGAGAAATCACAGATGTGGGGTCATTTCGCAGACTAGCCTGAGGCAAGGTTAATATATGTTCAGCGCAACGGGATGCCATTAGGATTTGTCAAAACACATGCATGCATCGCCGTTTTGGTCATGGTCAGGATATGTTCTTTTCTCAGCTGGTGGTCCCAACCATGTTTGGATTCCTTGAAATTTATATCCTACTAAATCCCACGAATGTTTGCGGCATGTGCAAGCACGTTTGAAGACTGCAGCTGCACGCGGGCGATGTTCCGCTTGCGCGGTTCCATCCATGTTCCGCAGTGATAGGAACCCCACCCAGGGGACCCATCCACCAAGCCCAATCAACCAACCCACCCACCAATACCAGGCTGATTGAGTAAGCTTCAGAATCACGGAGGGGGCACCACGAATCCCGGGAACCGCTCAGATCATCGATCTCTTCACTGCGGGAGGAGCGACTGTGGAAGCAAATGGGCG